GCAAGGTCAGGTGCCCCATGGAGCCTGTCCCGTGGCTGTACAGGGAGAGGGACAGGGACACATGCACACCCTAGCACATCTGCTCAGCCCTGTGTGCACACATGCCCCTGCACTCGCACACACCCCTGGGCATATGTGCACCTGTGCACAGGCATGTACACCCCTACCCCCACAACCTTGCACACCCTTGCATATGTGGACTCCCCCTACCCCCCGCACCTCACACCACCCCTGCACCCACGTGCCCCCCCGCAGCAGGGCCGCGGCAGGTCCAAGCCACGAGCGCTGCATGCCAGCTCTCCCCTTCCTGATGCCGCCCATCCCCAGTTCCCCCCCGAAGGCGACGGAGGCCGCGTGTGCTGGTGCTGGCCCAGCTCTTGCTCCAGACCTGGGCAGGGAGACACGGCCCTGGCCTGGCAGTCGGCTCCCGCCTCCAGGCCTGCGCTGCCGCAGCTTGAGCCCGGGCGGAGGGGACCCAGGATGCTGGAGCCACCGGGCAGGTACCACCCAGCATCCCGGGCACGGCGTGGCCGGGCTGCCACCTGGTGGCCCACGGAGGAAGTGCAGCACTGGAGCCAGGCCGGGCAGGGGTGGCCCCCGAGGGAAGTCCCCCCAGGCCAGCCTGGGCCTGCTTGGCTCCTGCCCTGTGCCTCAGTTCCCCTGCACGTGCAAGGGGAACAGCAGCCCCCCTGGGCGGGATGCAGTGGTGCCACACTGGACCCTGGTTCTTGATCGTCTCCAGGCCCCGGCAGGGAACGCCACGGGGGGGCGAATGCTCAGCAGCCAACCCCGCTGGTTCCCACTGCCCTGGACTCTGGGCTGGGGGCTGCCCCAGAGCCTCGGCTGGGGGAGAGGTCAAGCCCCCCCAACACCTCTACCTCTCAGGGCCCAGCTCCAGTGCTGAGCTTGAGATTTCCCAGTCCCCCAAAAGCCCCCATGGACGGCCCCAGGGCAGGGAGGAGCGGGCGCAGACAAGACGCAGCCAGGAGCTTGGGAAGGCAGTGATGACCCTTTACCTGGATGCACCCCAAGAGCCCCCCAGAGCTTCCCCACGGGCCTGGGGGGCAAGGCCACACTGGGAAGAGCCCTGGTACAGGCCTGGGCCCAGGCACAACTGCAGGGAGCCCGGAGGAGGGGGACACCCCCGCGTCCACCCCTGGAGCCAGGCATTGGTCCCAGGAGCGCAGCCCCCTGGCCTGTGCCAGGGCAGGGGTCTTGGCCATCCCCGGGGGGCTCTTCCTTGCAGCCAGGTCCCAGCCCCAGGGTGGGGAAGCTGAAGCCGGAACCGGAGCAGCACCTGGGGGAGAGAGAGGCAGAGGTGAGACCGGGCTGGAAGTCCCCGAAGCGCAGGCCCTTCTGAGGGCACCCCCCCGCCAATCTCCAAAGCAGCCCCCACCTCTACAGCCTCCGGCGCTGTTTCTTCGCTGGCATGATGGGCGCGATCTCCTCCTCCTCGCTGGACTCGTCCTCATCCTCATCCTCATCCTCATCCTCATCGGACAGACCGGTGCTGGGCACTGCGGTGCACGGACAGGCCATCAGCACCAGCAGCCGGTGCTGGGAGGGATAGCCAGACAAGCTGCCCCCACCCCTCCTGCAGCCAGTCGCCCCCGTGTCAGGCAGGCAGCTCATGGGCACCCGCCCCCCAGTCCTTACCGACACGGTGCTGCCCGGCCAGGTGCACGGGGCCGGAGCCGGCGGCCAGGCGGAAGGTGACGGGAGGCTGCAGTGTGAAGCCGTCCAAACTCAGCTGCAAAGAGGCCAGGGGAGGAGGGGAGTGAGAGCAGGGCTGGGGTCTGCCTCGGCCCCGCCACGACGCTTGCACGCCGTGCCCCCGGCCCGCCTGGGCGCCTTACCGAGGGCTGGCACGACAGCTTCAGGTTGGCCACGGGCACGGCGATCTCCCGGTCGTCGCAGTCGCGTCCCACCACTTCCACCACGTTGCACTCGTCCACGGCTCCGGCGCCCAGGGAGACCTGGGCGAAGGCAGAGGGGGAGCACTGGGGGCAGCTGCCACGGGGAAGGACGTAGCTGGGCTCCCAGCAGGCGAGCTGCGGGCAGAGGTTTCCGACTCCGGTGCCCCCAGGCTGGAGGCCGGCTGCGCGTGGCATCAGTGCACACGCATGGCACCTACACACGTGCACCCGCGTGGCGGTCAAGTGCTGCCGCCCCGGCGAGGGGACCGGGCTGGGGTGGGAGTAGGGGTCGCAGGGCCCCGCTTACCGTGGACAGGGTCAGGAGATGCTCGCAGTCCTCATCCTCCTCATCCGCCACGAAGGTGAAGGCCGGGGCGCTGCCGGTCAGGGCGCAGCCTGGGGAGCCCGGGGGTCATGCACAGCAAAGCCACAGA